AAGAAATACCCCGTCCCGTTGGCCTGCTCAAAACAGAGACCTTTCCTGTGACTAAACAGATTATTATTCATACACTTAGATGGTCAGCTATGCTGCCTGTGTGCTAGACACTTGATTCTGATTTCCTGGTCCATTGAGAGTCTGAACATGTCAGAGGATTCACTCTGGACAATGCACCCTACTCAGGGTGAGCTCACAGTAAGGGAGGGAGGGAGAGCACTCCTTCTTGAGTGCATCGTGGGAAACATTTGAGGAAGTCTAAGAAATGTGGCCTTTGGAGAAGGTAGGATGACAGTCGGTGGGTGATTCTAGTTGTCAGTGCACTCTTGTTCCCCCGAATTCTCTCATTTCCAGACACCTCTGCTTAGCTTAGGCTATGTTACCCAGCACTGGTGTTAAATCCACATGTTGAAGCCCTGACCCCTGATGTGATATGTTTAGAGATAAGGTCTTCCAGGAGGTAATTCAGGTCAGTGGGGTTGTAGGATGGGCCCTGTAACAAGAAGAGACAGAGGGTATTGTCCAGAGGAAAGACCATGTAAGGACACAACCAGAGGTAACCACCTGCAAACCAGGGAGAGAGGCCTCAGGAGAAGAGGCTGGCACTGCTGACACCTCCATCTAGACTTGTAGCCTCAGAGCTAGGTACCAACCCAAAATGTTGAAAAACACATTTTGTTGTTGAAGCCATCTAGTCTATAGCTCTTGGTCATGGCGACTGAGCCAGTTAGTACAGCGGAGAAACCCCTGGGCACTATTTTTATACGAGCCACAGATGCTAACTGGAACCTAGAACCAGGTTGTAGCGTTGATTTGCAGGGCCAGCCTGGCCCAGGCTTACATCACTGAGTACAGGGAGCGTGCTGGATGGACTGGTGTTGGGTCCCATTCTTGCCTCTGTGTCCAAAGTGTACCCCATGGTGGCTGATATATTTGGAGGCACCCCAGGCTGGGGATGAATGAATAGTCTTTATACATATACACGTGCCCATGTAGAAATCTAATGGGAACCCAACTGGTTCATGCTTGCATTTCCAAATCAGGGGTTGCTCTTGGCAGTGGCCTTTCATATGGTGATGGACCATATGGAGCCACCTGCTCTGAGAACCACTCAGCTAGACAGTGGCTCTCTACCTGGGGCAGTGTTGTCTGCCTAGGGACACATGGCAATGTCTGCAGACATTTTGTCACACCAGGATAGAAGATGCTACTGGCATTTAGGAGGTCAAAGCTAAGGATGAGGAAAGGCATGGTACCAGGGACAGGCCAGCCCCCCATGATGAAGGACTGCCCCAAAATGGCCATCAGACTGAGGGTAAGAAAGGGCAGTAAGCCTGGGTTTCTTGTTCCATGATTTAATTAAGGAACATCAGTTCTAAACAGCAAAGCCGGGCTAAGCAGGCAGGAGACTCTTCTTCAAGGGAAGCAGATGGTTAAGCTGAATATCTGCTGATTGTTGCACGATTCAGGGGAAACTACTGGCATTTGAAGGCTGCTGAGGCGCACAGAGCAGCTTGAGAGGAAAGGTTGGCCCTGGAGGGTCTGATGGTGGAAGTGTCGACGTGGCTGAAGCCCTACCTGCTGCTCAAACCCATTTGACAGCACGTGGACCTCCCCAGCATCTCTGGTCTTCTGCCTTCGGTACCAAGTATACAAGGGCAGCTGCAGGGCAGGAAGACCAAGCTGCTGTGGACAGGAATAAACTCTGTCTGAGGGCCTGAGGGCCCCAGGAAAAAAAGAGAGAAGTGGTCTCAGAAGGAGGAAGGGTGGACACCTGTTCTTTTGAGATGGGAAGGAAGCAGGTATGTTTGATGGTGGTGCAAATAGTTGGGACCAGAGGCTGCAAATATTTGGGACATTTGTGCCTAGTGGGGTTAGGGTTAGGGAAGGGAAGGAAAGGCCTGAAACCAGCACTGGCTCATAGACTTCCAAGTGGGCTTCCACAAGATGCCAAAAAAGAGAATCCTAATGTATCGCTCAACTCTCACCAGCGAAGCTCCCTTGTGCAACAGAGGGTGATGAACACAGAAAACTACAACTGGCCAAAATGTAGAGAATAAGACTGCAGAGTACATGTCCCCGGATAGGATTTCTGTATTAAACCTCACCCACCCAGGGCTCGGGGACCATTGCAGAAGAAGAGACGGAAAGACTGTAAGAGCCAGGGGTGGTGGATGACCACAAGAAAGCAAAGTTTTCCAGGCTTCTGAGAACTTGCAGCAATGGTGACAGCATGCACAAGACCCAGGCAAACTCAAACCAAACAAAAACCCAGCATAGAACTGGGGAAATGGACAAGGAGCCCCAACCTTAGCTGAGGAACTATTGGCAACTGACGACTGCTGGGTGAGGGAGAGTTGGCCTTCTTTAAGGGAGCGGTGCTAGTTAGGCTGACCAGGCTCCAGTGGATGGACTCACACAGAGGGCTATCTGGGGACACAAACTTGACTCGATAGCCTTTAGCATACATAACAGAATGCATAAAATCTGGTGAACGTGCAGATAGAGGAGGAAGTCTAAGTATGATTAAGATGTATTGTATGAAATGCACAAAAATTCAGTAAAAATATATTGGCAAAAAAAGATGTTTATTAAGCCTGCAAGAAAGTGTGAAGGGAGCCAAGGTAAACCAGTCTTGTTCCTGACCTTGAGAGGCCTGCCATTTCCTTCTGCTATAGCCACCCAGTTTATCAGGTGGACCGCCAACAGTAAAGTTTGCTTGCGAGCAAAGTTGGGAAGCCCTTTAAGGAATACTCCACCTGGACAGCCCCAGCTAGACGGTAGAAGGTGCAACCAGCTCAGAGACATTCTGCAGGAAAAGACTGGCTTGTTTCAGTGATCCTTTCCCAGACCGGGGTTGTTGAGGTGAGGGATAAGATTACCTGACTTAACAAGTAAAAAAGGCAGGATACGCAGTTCAATTTGAGTTGCACATGACAAAATTTAACTAGGTTGTGGGCCATAATTAACTTAAAAAGCATATTCATTTACCTGAAATTTGAGTGTAACTGGGCTTGCTGGACTTTATCTGGCAGTTGTACCTGGAAAGAAGGAAATGCCTACTGCTGGCATCTGTCCAGGAGTCACCCCAGAACCATGGTCCTGGCCATGCTCGGGTAGCCTTTTCTGTTTCATGCTCTAGTTCCCCAATACTTAGATGTGCAGTCTACTTTATAAGGTTCCCCTTTTTGTGCACCAACACAATTTTAGTTTTTTTTAAAAAATGTTTTAAAAAATTATTTTATGTGTATGAGTGTATTGCCTGCATGTAGGTAAGTGCACCCGTGTCATGCAATGCCTGTGGAGGACAGAAGAGGCCACCAGATCCCTGGGAACTGGAGTCACAGACAGTTGTTAGCTGCCATGTGGGTGCTGGGATGCAAACCCGGATCTTCTGCAAGAACAGCCAGTGTTCTTAACTGCTGAGCCATCTCTTCAGTCCACAATTTTAGTTTTCTAGTAAACATTTCCTAGTCTCCTTGGCTGCCCAGAATGGCTAGGAATCCAGAAATCCATGCAAGGTACAACCTGGTGCAAGCAGAGTCCAGAGTAGCAAAACCAAGGTCAGGAATGGTGGGTCTCCTGGAGCAGTGGGGCGGTGGGAGCACTGGGTGTCATTTGACCAACATTTGGGGTATCTGAACAGCCTTCTTGGCTGGCACTGGTGGAGGAAGTGGGAAAGCCAAGAGAAAGCCAGATAGAAAAGACCGAGAATGGACAAGAGATAAAGCCACAGACAGGTGGTCAGGCAGGTTGTCAGGAGAGGTTCCAGGTGATGTCTGGGGGGACAGGTAGGGAAGCTCATTCTGCTCGCTTGCCTGAGTTCATTCCTTCCAGTGTCTAAGCGGTCAGAACAGGACTGACTGATCATTTCTAATTTATCAAAGGCTTATTGCCACCTTTGTTTTTCTGTTTGTTCCTCTCTAGTTTCAGCCACATTAACCTCTTCGTTATTCGTATAACACCTGAGGGTGCTTCTGCCTCAGGACCTTCGCGCATGTGGCTCTTGCTGCCTGGGATGTTTTCTCCTTGTTGCATAAACTTCCTGAGGTTACCTGAACAATGTCTATTCCCCACCAGATAGGGCTCCCGTGACAGACAAGTACAATCCCACCAGAGTCCAGCTTGGTGACTTGATGATGAATTTATCGTGCTTACTTACAGAGCATGGGTAACCCCAAATCGGGCACACCACAGGAAGTCTCACCTCAGCATGGATGACGATTTCCCTGTAGCTACATAGATAATTAATGTCTTCCTTTCCGCCAACATTGTACACTCTCTGTACTCTGAGACCATGTACAGCTTGGGCAAAAGCTGTAGGAAGAAGTGACTTAAACTCAGGTGAGGGTCTAATGGCTGTTCTATGAGCCATGTTATCAGGCCCAATCTTGAGGGACTCTTGCAAGTGAGTAGTCACAGCTGGTCTGCAGAAGGTGGTAATGGCTGTTATGCTCAGAGGACAGCGCTCCATAGAACACCTTTACAACTCATTTCTGATCTTTGCTCAGATGGACTTTGCCTGACTCCGTTATCTAAAATTTCAGCTCTCCTGTCCTGGCTGTTTTTCTTCTTAGCATCCCTCACCATCCCCTAGCACATCATAGTCCATCTATTCTATTGTTTATTTACTGTCTTCTCCGTGAAGAATGTGGCTTCTGCAAAGGCAAAGCCTGTGTCTACTTGGTTCATTTCATTGTTGAACCCCAGCATGACTGCCTGGTTGGGGTCAGGCACTTGGTAAACTGGTTTGGAATGAGTTGTCTGAGCTCTTTCCTCATAAGCCATCCTGGCTCCCATTGTATAGATGAGGGAAGTAAGAAAAATCTGTCCAGGGTCTGTAGCCAGTGATGAATGAAACCAGGATCTACTGCCCAAGCACGGTGCCCATCATTGGAGTTTATTAACCTCTGATCTTCAGGGTAAGGGTCTGGCACAAGATGAGACATGTTCCGAAGTGTCCTGTGTCCATAGTGACGGCTTTGTCTCCATTTCCTCAGGATGCACTTCTGAGACGGTTGAGGTTCCTGATGGCCCTCACAGTGACTCGGTGGAAGGAAGTCCTTTCCGTCCTCCCCACTCCTCCTCAGCTGTGTTCGATGAAGACAAGCCGATAGCCAGCAGCGGGACTTACAACTTAGACTTTGACAGCATCGAGCTGGTAGATAACTTTCAGAGCTTGGAGCCCCGCTCCGCAGATTGTAAGGGTCAGGAGTACAAGGTGAGCACTCGGAGGAAGTCCACTGAGTCTGTGCCTGCCTCCAAGTCCACGCTGTCTCGGTCGCTCAGCCTGCAAGCCAGTGACTTTGATGGTGCTTCCTGCCCAGGTAGCCCTGAAACGGGGGCCCTCGCCGTAGATGCATGCAGCACAGGGTCCAACAGTGCTTCCAGCACCCTTAAGCGAACTAAAAAAACACGGCCACCTTCCTTAAAAAAGAAACAGGCCACCAAGAAACCCACAGAACCTCCCCCAGTGAAGGAGACCCAGCCGGAGCCAGGAGAAGAGAGTCCAGTTCCCAGAGAGGAGAACTTAGCATCAGAGGCAAAGACGGAGTTAGCCACAAAAGAGGGCTCTGGGTGCACCTTGGAGGAGACGCCCCTGGAGCCCGCTGCTGTGCCCACAGCCACCTGTCCTCCAGCTTTGGAGGGCGTAGAAGACATCAGCCCTCCGGTTTCCGGAGGAGGCAGAGTTCAGAACTCACCCCCAGTGGGGAGGAAATCAGTGCCTCTTACCACGGCCCCTGAGGCAGTGGAAGTGACCCCATCAGACAGCGGGGGGCAAGAGGACTCCCCCGCCAAAGGGCTGTCGGTGAGGCTGGAGTTCGACTATTCTGAGGACAAGGGCAGTTGGGACAATCAGCAGGAAAACGCCCCTCCTACCAAAAAGATAGGCAAGAAGCCAGTTGCCAAAATGCCCCTAAGGAGGCCAAAGATGAAAAAGACACCCGAGAAACTCGACAACACTCCTGCCTCACCTCCCAGATCCCCCGCCGAACCCAATGACATCCCTATTGCTAAAGGTACCTACACCTTTGATATAGACAAGTGGGATGACCCCAATTTTAACCCTTTTTCTTCCACCTCAAAAATGCAGGAGTCTCCCAAACTGCCCCAACAGTCATACAACTTTGACCCCGATGCCTGTGATGAGTCCCTTGACCCTTTTAAGACATCCTCTAAGACCCCCAGCTCACCTTCCAAATCCCCAGCCTCCTTTGAGATCCCAGCCAGCACCATCGAAGCCAATGGAATGGATGGGGACGGGCTAAATAAGCCCGCCAAGAAGAAGAAGACACCCCTGAAGACGTAAGTTCAGGGAGGGAGGTGGTGAGGATCTGGGTGGGTGGGTGTTGTGACTCGTGGTTCTGCCCCAACCCCAGCCAGCCCTGTTGCTGTGATGACACCATGTTTGTGGCTGTCCCTCCAAGCAGGCACGATACACAGTTCCCTTCCCTTGGCAGCCTTGGTGGTATCATATTCCCATCTGTGAACCCCTGTGACATCACAAGTCCTTGACTGTCCACCTTAATAAGCCAGTGGCCAGAGATGACCTCTTTAATTCCAGGGGTTTATGGGAGGTCCCATAGAAAAGGAACAGACAAGAGAGACCCTCCACTTTCCTGTTGGTGGCTGACGGCCTTCCCTGGTTAGCATGGGCATTGCCTTTTGGGTAAGCCAGGGTAGATACCCTGCCAAGTACTATTAAAATTTATAGTATTTGTTTCTGCCCTCTAATGTGACTTTAACTAGGGACCACACAGTAAATAGCAGGCCTCAGGAAGCCCAAGGCTGAGAGCTGCTCCTTGCACTCCAATGAGCCTGTAGGAAATGGGCTCTTGGTCTCCTTGCCTTTCTGGTTGTATTTTGCAGCTGAAAGTCTGAAGTCTCTGTAAGTCCAGAAGAGATGGATCCCCAGGAAACCATTAGTAACTGACTTTTGTCCACAAACACTTGCCAAAGACATTGCCCCTAAATACTTAGGATGTGCCCCCAGCCTGCATCCTAGAGCCAGCTCTAACTTTGTTGCTCCAGGTCCCTTTTCGAGGCCATGTACAGGGTGCCTGCGGGCTTTTTGCTCTCTCGAGAAACATCGTCTGTAATTTAGCAAGATAGAGGAAACTAGCCTCCTCGGTAGTAGAACAAAAAAGCCCCAGTCGCAGTCCCTCTGGGTCTGTATGCATGAACAAGATGGGGTGACCCATCTGGACTCCCCTTAGCATTGAACAGCTCAGGCTCACCGAGGTGTTCTTAGCGGGCTTTGGACTTGGATGGTTCTTCTGCCATCTTACAGTAGCCGGAGGCATTCTGGCCCCAAATGTGGACTTTCTTAGATTTCTTCCCCAACCATGCCCTTCCTAGAGAGTCCATAGAATGCATGTTGGAGCCTTATTTTAAAAGTGGGATAGTAGGGGCTGGAGAGATGGCTCAGTGGTTAAGAACACCTGCTGCTCTTCCAGAGGACCCGGGTTCAGTTCCCAGCACCCATATGGTGCCTGACAACTGTCTACAACTCCAGTTCCAGGAGGATCCGACACCCACTTCTGACCTCCGTGGGTATTGCATGGGTGCACTTACATACATGCAAGCAATACACTCATACACATAAAAAGTAAAAATAATAAACACGCCATTTTCTTAAGAAAGAGTAGCATAGTACCCAGAAATACCTACACCCCAAAGCCATGCCTTCTCACCTTTGGAATGAGAGTCCCCCTGTAGCCACCGTCTCCTCCTTGCCAAGGTAGCCTGGTTATATTACATCCTTGGCCGCTTTCTTCTCTGCTCATGAGAGCTAAAGAAGGCTGGGGAAGCAGGCCGTGTGTGTCTCAGCCTCACCTTCAGAGCAGGTGGGTCTGGTGGTTTGGAAGACTCTACCTGAGGAGACAGAACTCTTAGGTGTCAACCCTGTGGATGCTCAGAGCATAGAGAGTAAGCTGTGCCCCAATAGCCCCTTCCCAAAAGACAGGCGCACTGCTGCCTGGAACAGCGACCACGGTGGCTGGCCGGCTGGCACATCCTAATTCACTGGAGCCCAGTGTCCGCAGATTTATCTTTTTGTCAGTTCCTTCTGTCTGTCTCTCTTTCTTTGTCTTCTTGTCTTAGGATGGTTGAAGATGTGATGTCTGTGTGTTCTCTGTTGTAAGTAAATTAACGCAACCTGCCTCTTAGCGCCAGATGTGCTGCTTTCGTTTCTGCTTGCAACCCCCTTTCCCTTCCTCTGTGGCTGCTGCATTCCTGTGGCGGGCTTGGGAATGATGGGCGCAGGGCTCCCCGGCATCCAAGGTTACTTCTCTGTTTCGTCGTGTTTAGACTACTTGGCTTGAAAACGTGACTAGCCATCAGCTGCCTGCTTGTCAGGAATGGAACCCTTTCCCCGCTTGTTTATTGGATGTCCTCATCTGAAATCCATACATTAGTTTTTTAGTCCTCATTCCATCCTTTCGTTGTGAAGTTGGGCTGGCGGGCGATTGCTTTCAGTAGCACGAGGCTACCACTTGACGCACTGTGTGAAGCCTGGACAGAGCCTGCTGAGGCTCGTTCTTGTTAATGTGTGAAGCAGGACCATTGGGGCTATTCCAGATTCAGACTTGCAGGAACCCCATAGAATGTGGGAGCTCAGAGTGGAGCCCATGGCTGAGAGCCATCGCCAGGGAGCCTTGAGGCCTGTTCTTGGTCACTTAGGTTCAGGCCAGGTGTTAATGTGTCTCATCTATGGGTTGCCGTGCTGGGGGGAACTGACTGCCTGTTGCATCTCGTGCTACATGTCCCTGGCCAGGGCAGAGCTAAGGGCTCCAAAGACACGTGCTCTCTCCTTTTACAAGAGAAGTTGGCCTGAACCCAGGCATCTGGCAGCCCCCAGGGTAGCATGGAATCGCCCAGTTCTCTTCTGCCCAAGGGATTTCTTTATTATTTATTTTCAAGTCATTTAGCAACTACAAAACACGGCTATATATTTATATGCATGAATAAATAAATATATGCCTTAAACTGTGGTTGCACTATTTTATGGCAAAAGCCATAAATACTATAAATGACCATTTATTGTATTTTTTATGATCAATACCATTGTTGGAGTGTTTTATTTGAGAGTACACAGGAAGGGACTTGGGTGCCAAATTTCCCTGCCACAGTGCTAACATGGAAAGCGGGGAGGTGGTGGGATTTAAAGTGAGGGACCATGCCTCCTCTACACCACACCAGTGAGGGGCTGGAGACCAGGAGGCAAGGGCCAGTCTGCACATAGTGAGAGCTTTCATCTTTGACTATAGAAATGACCCCCCAGTAGGCCAGACAGCTCTTCACTAAAAGCCATCCCCTTCTCCTGGGGGCTGATCTGATGTTCCACCTCCATTATCTGTATGAAGGAGAGAGAAAGAAGAGTTGGGAATCCTGTCTGTTTAACCAAAGCCAGGGAAAGACTTAAAGTGCTGTCTCCCTTGAACCCTGTCTTTAATCAGAATCCTACCTAGAGTCTTTTAGAGTAGAGGGATCCACTGTGGTCCATGTTCCCATGAATACAAAGGATTTTACAGATTCCCCATGGGACCCAGAACTTTCTGTTTCCATATGGGCTCCTTTGACTGTTCATTAAAAGCTGTGTCACCTTGCCCATGTGAAAATTAGATCCTGTTAATTGGTAGCATGAGTCTGAGTTGGCTCAGACACTCCCCAAAGCATCTAGATAAATTAATCTCACTACAACTTTGCCTTATAAAAATAAGAACATTTAGTTAAATTTAGTTGCATTTTCTGGGTCAGCTCTCCAAAATGGCATCTCTTTAAAGATTTCCCGCTTAATGGATCTTTCCCTTGGGGGCAAAAATAATATCTGTTTAAAAGTCAGAATGAGTTGTCATTGCTGATGCCTTTAGGTAGAGTTGGAGTGGGCAGGCTGGAGGATGGGCTGAGCAGGAAGGCTGGGCAGAGGCGTAGATGCCGCCCATGCTGGACTGTTCTGGAGTGATCTGTGGCTCTGTGTTTACATTTCCCATTTTGTTTTCAGTGACACATTTAGGGTGAAGAAGTCCCCAAAGCGGTCTCCTCTCTCCGATCCACCTTCTCAGGTACAGTGTTACCCTGTCACAGCGTCCTCCATCCTTCACCACTTACCAAGGAGTCAGTGATACTGTTGTTATTCACACCTACCCCCCAAAGAGGGCAGAACTAGACTTTCCTTCCTTTTCCTTATGGCATGAAGGGTCCCTTGGTGTTGGCAAGCATACTGGATTTTATAGCAGGAACTTTCTGGTCTATTCTATCCATTTAACCTGCTGAGAACCCATATGAAGTTGAGAAAGTCTTTTGAGATCAATGACTACAGAGTAAGAAAAAACAAAACAGAACAGAACAGAACAGAATACGGGGGCTGAGAGCTGGCTCAGCAGTTAAGAGCATTGGCTGCTCTTGCAGAGAACCCAGGTTCAATCCCAGAACCCACATGGCAGTTAACAACTGTCCACAACTCCAGTTCCAGGGGATCTAATGCCCTCTTCTGGCCTCACAGGCACCAGACATGCACGTGGTGCTCATACATACATGCAGGTAAAACATTCATATACATAAGTGTAAATAAAACCTTTTGAAAACTGACTATCAGGAACACCAAATTATGCTGCCGTCATTGGAGTTGGGGGTGAGGGAAGCCTTCTCCTAAAGGGTGGTTGGGTTCCGTATGTGAGTCTGTTTCCCTCTTACGGGTTCTTCTAATGGCCTCAAGCTATTTCACTGACCAGGGTGGAGGAGGCGAAGGGAGATACTAGAAGCTCAGCCCCAGTTGCAGCTCTCCCCGCACATCTTTGGGTCCCCTTGTCACACTCGGCTCTACCTTGCCCTGTGCAATAGCAGTGCGACCTCTTCCTCACAAGGAATGGCATGAGGATGGTTGATACTGCTGTAAAACTAGCTAGGATGTCTCAGATAGCCAAGACACAGAAACCTGTTTGTTTTTGTCTCTTTTTATGTGTGTGGGTATGGCTGTGGGTATGTACCCATGGGTGCAGGTACCAGGCACCCAAATAAGCTAGAGGTGGATCCCCAGGAGCTGAGGCACAAGTGGTTGTGAGTCACCTGATACAGTCTCTGGGACTTGAACCTGGGTCTTCTGGAAGAGCAGTATGTGTTCTTAACCACTGAGGCAGTATCTCATACAGCTCAGGCTAGCCTGGTGCTCACTGTGTAGCTCAGGCTGGTCTTGAACTAGCGGCAGTTCTCTCAGTCTCCTGAGTTTTGGGATCACAGGTGTGACAGCCATGCCTAGGCCTTTGTTGTTGTTGTTTTCAGTTGTGGGGATTGAACCCCAGGGCCTTGCACATGCTAGGCAAGCACCACACCACTAACTATACCCACAGCACTTCTTTTAAGAGTGTCTTACATAGTAGCCCAGTCTGGCCTCAAATTCCTGGGAGTCATTCTCCTTCAGCCTCCCAAATGCTAGGATTATGGGTGGGACCACTATGTCCAGTTATTAATTAATTACTTACTTAATTACTTAATTAATTGATTTATTTTGGAAACTCATGGTCATCCCTGAAACCAACCATCATTAAAGGAGAATCATAGAGGAAAGAAGGTGTTTCCTTTGGAGCAAAGTCCTAGGGAACAGTTGGAGGAATTTTTCTGGTTTGCCAGGCTCCAGAGTCATGGGTGGGCGTGGTTTCACACCAGGTGAAAGAAAATACAGCTTCTCTTTTCCTTACAGGACTCCACTCCAGCTGCCACACCTGAAGCACCACCAGTGATCTCCGCAGTGGTCCACGCCACGGACGAGGAAAAGCTGGCAGTCACCAACCAGAAGTGGACGTGCGTGACAGTGGACCTGGAAGCTGACAAACAGGACTTCCCACAGCCCTCCGACCTATCTAACTTCGTAAATGAGACCAAATTCAATTCACCCTCGGAGGGTAAGCAACTTGGTGGCCAGCCAGACCCACACCCTGCCTTGGAGAATACTGCCCCTAGGGAGCAAAGAGCCAGGAAAGATACTTGTCAGCCAGGTAACTCTCCCGTGTGATCATCTGCACGCCTCCCACTGTACTCGAAGCTATGGCTGAAACAGCCTAGTGCTTGAAACCAGCTGTCTCTTGACCCCCCTAATGCCTGCCGAGAGCCAGCCTAGTACCCTCTAATCCAGATCCTGAGACTTCACTTGCTCGTTCCTGGCTGTATGGCTTGTGGTACCTTCTGTCATTTTGAAAAAAAAGATACCTCCAAGGGAACGTTCACATTAGACTTTCACTGTAGGTTGGCTTTATGGTGCTGTCATCGTTCATATCCCCCACAGCATGGTCAGACAATGTGGCCACACCTTTTAATCAAGCCCTGAGCCAGAAGTTCATCCCAGGCTTGCTGATGAGGACTTGAGTACTTTGGGAGGGTCCTGAGGGCACTTTGCTCTCTGTACTTGGTTTCTTTTTTCTCTCTGGTTGTTTGACTTGAAAAGTTCATGAGATGTAGTTGGAAAATTGGAGATCAGTTGGTAGATCAGTTGGTAGAGTGCATGCATGAAGCCTTGAGTTCAGCTGCCAGCACTGTGTAAGCACCAGGTGTAGGGATGCACGTTTGTAACCCCAGCACTAGGGAGGTAGAGATAAGAGGACCAGAAGTTCAAAGCCATCCTCAGCTATATACTGAGTTCAAAGCCCCCATGGGGTACATAAGATGCTGTTTAGAAAGAAAAGACCAGGCATGGTGACTCATACCTGTAATTCTAGCACTTGGGAGGCTGAGGTAGGAGGATCAAGAGTTCAGGGCCAGATACATGAGACTGTCACAAAAATGTAGAAAAAAAGAAGAGGACAGGGAGGGAGGGAGGAAAAAAAGGAAGAAAGACTTCATGTTTTTTTTTTAGTATTTTATTTATTATTTTTATTTTATGTGTGTGCGTGTATTGCCTGCATGTGGGTAACTGCACCCGTGTCGTGCAATGCCCATGGAGGACAGAAGAGGTCATCAGATCCTCTGGGACTGGAGTTCCAGACAGTTGTTAGCTGCCATGTAGGTACTGGGATTCGAACCTGGGTCTTCTGCAAGAACAACCAGTGTTCTTAACTGCTGAGCCATCTTTCCAGCCCGACTTCATGTATTTTAACTGAGCTCAGCAAGCCTGCGTGAAAATGCCTAGAGTTGACTCTTCCACATCTGCACACACTTCTGGTCTTTTTAGGAAAGCACTGAGATCATTCAGAGGGATAAATCCACTCTTGGTTCCTGGTTTCCTCCTCCTCTGGTTACCTGTGAGACTGGTAAACATAGTTTGGGGCTAGCATTTCAACTTTGACTTCTGTGATGGTTTTGAGTTCTTTTTCTAAGCTTTTGATTTCTAGCAATTTTACAAACAAAGTGGCAATAACTATGAGGATGATCATGTGACACAGAGAGGTGCAGGTAGTTTTTATTGTAACTCAGACTACTTCCCTTGGACATTCTGCTGTGATCAGGCCTCTCGAGATGGTTTGCTTGGTACTTGTGAGGTCTGAGTAATGGTACCGATATACATTTTATGGTGAGAGTTACTTCATGATAGATTTTTCACAATTTCTTAAAAAATGTATGTGTGTGTTTGTTGCCTGCATATATGAAGATGCAGCCCTGGCATGCAGTGCCCACAGAGATCAGAAAAAGGGCATCAGATCCCTGGAACTGGAGTTACTGAATGTTGTTAGATGGCATGTGAGTGCTGGGAATCAAACCCGGGTCTTCCGCAAGAACAGCAAATGCTCTTAACCACTGAGCCATCTCTTCATTTTGGATGCTCATCTTTTCCCTACACAAAATTTCCTTTCTGTATGACAGTGGAATAGTGATCCAAATCATATGACTTAGAGGCTGGGGAGAGAGGGCTCAGTCTCTATAAAGTGCTTGCTATACAAGCGTGAGGGTCTGCATTTGGATCCTCAGTACCCATGTAAAATTGGGGCACCACGGCACACATCTGTGAAACCCCAGTGCCATTGGCAGGGTAATGGAAGCGGGAGGATCCCCAGAGCTTGCTGGCCAGCCAGTCCAGCCGAAACAGCAAGCCCTAGCCACTCAGTAAGAGACCTTGATGCAGAACTAAGGTGGAAGGCAACAGAGGAAGACGCCCACCTTTGGCCTCGATGCGTGCTTACATGGGCACACGTGCACATGCAAGCACAGACACGAGCATCCTGATTATATGACTTGGACTTCAGCACTTTCTTTTCTGCGAAATAGTGTTTTGTGGTTGGCTGTCAGGTTGGCCTTCTGGCTTGGGGTTTGGAAGGCTTCAAAGTGACCATCTCATTCTGACTTTTCACCCCAAGCCCTGGGACCCAGCCTCAGCCTCTTTTGATCCCTGTTTTGCTCTGTAGCTGCACCTGAGCCACGAGCCTCACCTAAGAATCATTTTCCCCCAGATGACCTTCAGTTCAGCTGTGCTCACCCCACTCTCCATTTCCCACCCTTGCCTGTCTCAGCCTTTGCCTGGATGTTACTCCTTTCCTGCTTGCTTTTAACGCTTGATTTGGGGCTCTTAACACCATGTTCATTTCTCCCTTTGCTACTGGATTGTGTTTATGTTTCCTGAAGGCAGTGACCTGATTCCTCTTCATGGTGTTCACACTGCTTTGAACATCATAGGACCTAAGATAGGTTTAAGATAAAGGAAATATGAGGCCAGGCAGGTAAATGCCTAGTGTCAGCTCAGGCAATTTGATTTTTGCAATAGGCATCACCTGTGTGACTTACAGGGCCCTGAGACAGGAGAGAGGTTTGTGTCTCAGAAACAGCAAGGGTGTTGGACGTAAGCATCTTACAGCTTAGGTCACTCCTATGGTTTCCTGCTGGCTTATGTCTCTGGAGCTGGATAAGAAACTTCTAAACATCAGGAGGAAACCTGTAGAACTTGGGCTTGGTTTTGTAGATGAGGATCAAAACCCATTGATCAAGTGTGTCTCTGTGTGTTTGGTTTTATCAGGAACCAAGTACATGCAAGCTTTTTTCTTAGAAAAATTTACAATCTCATTAGCATATTTTAAACTAACAGTGCCTCATTTTATGGTAAAATCTATTTGTTCATCTTTGATAATGTACTAAAATTGATGGCTCACTAGCTCAGGGACATATTTGACAATTGGTTTTCCAAAAATTCAGCAAATAGGGAGATGACCATGGGTAGAAGTGCTTGCTTTGCAAGCATGAGAACTTGAGTTTGAATTCTGAGACAGGTGCATAGTGCAAGTGTCTGTAATCCCAGCACTCCTACAGAAAGATGGAGGTAGAGACAGAGACTCCTCAGAAGCTCTCGGGCCAGCTAGCCTGACATGCTGACATATTCAGTGTAAGGGGCGAAAAACCAAGAGCCTATCTCAAGGTGGAAGGCAAGATTGATATCTGAAGTTGTCCTCTGACCTCCACACGACTGCTGTGGTATGCACACACCCACACTCACATTTATGAATGTGCATTCACACACAGACACACACAATTCAATAAATAGGCATATATTTAAGTTTGAAACACAACTCTGTTAACCCTGCCTCCTTGGAAAACAGTGATAGAGATTTGGGAAATGGCCTCCATAGTTTTAGCTGTTAGGTGATGGAGAATCCATCCATGTGAAGACACAGTCGTTGGGAGGTGTTGACACTGCTGTATCCATCGCTGTAACAAACCCTGGATGTGGAAACTGGATGTGTTATCAGATCTTCCCTCTTGATCTTTTAATAAGGTCAAGTTCAGCGACACCAGGCCCATTCTGGGTGCTGGTGTGATCTTTGGAATGATTCAAGACACAGCTGTAGCTGTGATCTAAGACTTTCTCACCTGGAACTCACCAACCGTAGGAAAAGGAAATGTTGGGTTAGGCATTATAATTACTGTCTGAACACATTCACAGTAACACACATTCTATAGGAGAGGACAGGAAAGCAGGGATTACCATTTTGCATACACGGTTTCATTTCCTCCCCCAAGCTTTGTACTGCCCCACATTAAGTTAAGACTTGGCTCAGGGTGATCCACAGAGGCTGGGTCTGCCTGGGGTCACTGTTCTGCTCTGCTAGGGAGGTAAGAGCTGACCAGGCTTCCTGCCTTCATTTATAGAGTAAGAGTGAGCTAGCCATGTTCCTGCCTGGGTGCTGAATCGCTTCAAGGTGTCTTTATTATTTCAGAACTTCAGAGGAAACTAGTTTAGCAAATGCCCATATGGTTGCAATGCCCTATCTGGGCATTATAATATGTCCACTAACTCTGTTTTCTCTATAACCTCCCAGTGATTATTAACTTGGATTGAAAACTACACATGTGCTTACTTGTTTCATGAATGTTCTTCTCTTGTGCAATGTTTACAGACATGGTGGCATGGAAAAGATAGAAAATGTGGGACCACCTGCCTCTGGTCCAAGAGACCCTAAGAGAGTTGCTTTTAGACCCACAGATCTGAGTGGCCATCTGGTAGTCCTTGTCCCCTGACATGCAGTTGCATCAGCCTCTTCCCACACCCAGCAGAGGGAAGGTGCCCCTTTGGATGGTCACGCTCAAATGTCTCACAATGGACATTTAGAAGGGAGACAGGGAAGGCTGAGGCAGTCTCCTCATCCCTCTCCAAAGGGCTCTCTGTCATCTCCTTAATGTAGCATCACGTTTGAGAACTCTACTAGGTCTGGTCACAATCCCTCACGTTTGCATAACTCCTGGTGGGACTTCTGTCCTCTTATCCAGCACAGCCTCTCCCTTTGACTTTCATTTTGTTGACAAGTTGATAGGCACAGAATAGTCCAGTGAGTGGACCTCCCTGGTCCTAGGAATGAAGATCCTTCTGGCTTCTGCCCAGGACACTTTCCTAGAAAAGCTCTAGCAATTAGATTCAGGAAAGCTGTCCTCTTTGCTGTGCAATGCCCCAGTGTGAAATAATTCTCAAAAGTGATCCTGGGATAGGAGAGGCCTCTTTAAAAATGGCTGTGGGCCTCTTCAGCGTGGAACTGCCACATACTTCAGAGGCTCACCCTTCCCTGAAGTTTTAAAGACATGTGCCAGTTGGTGCCATTGCTTCAACCCTTCGTGGCCTGACAGCTGTGTGTGGCCTGGTGTGAGAGAGGGGCTAAAACTGGATTTGGCATGCCTACCCTGTGAGGTTTAGAATGTAAAAAGATGAGATTTCCTTCATTTCGTCCTTCCTTGTCTTGGGGATTATGCCTAGGGCCTTGTGCATTCTGGGCAAGTCTTCTACAGCTTACACCTGAGCCCCCTCCAGCCCTTTTTATTTTTTTCCATTTTGAGACAGGGTTTCCTCACTAAGTTACCCAGACTAACTTTGAACTCTACTCTGTAGCCCAGGCAGGCATTGAACCCACAGTGCTCCTGCCTCGGCCTCCCCAGTAGCTGAGATTACAGGACCCCAGACCCAGCTGAAGAGAGAGTCCTAAAACCAGCTTCAATACAAGATTTCCTCAAAATGTCAGAAATCAGCCCTGCCGGTAGAATTTGGGGACATGTCCAGGTGACTTGTGAAGCTTCTCTTTGAAGCCACACTAGAGGAATGACTCCTCGTCCCTGGGTTCAGAGTGGGACTGAATTCACAGACAGTAACAAGGACAGGTCCAGTTCCAAGATGCCACCATGACATGTCATTCTGTGTGGAGCCCTTGAGATTTTAGAGTAAAGCACATAGGCGATCGAGTCTGAACGCTGAAGTGCTCAGGTCTGTTCCCTGCAGACCTGCGTGTGGTATGGTCACACCGGTTCATTTCCTCGGCACTCACGCTCGCTAAGGGCAGAAGCCCCTTCTGGCCGGGCTGTGAAAATTGCTACGCCGTGCCTCGCTGGTGGCCGCCTCAGAAGTTGGTGGTCAGCAGCGTTCCCCAACGCTCAGAGCCCTCCCTGCCAGGCCAGCTCTTTCCATTTTTCGCTCCTGCTGCTCATCTCACTGGTGTTTCTTTTGCAGACTTGGATTACAGAAACTCCTATGAAATTGAATACATGGAAAAGCTTGGCCCCTCTGTGCCTGTAAGTTTCTCCATATACTGGCCCTTGCAAGGCTTCTTTGGGGTTTCCAGCAGGTTGTACAGGAGTCCCTCTGAGTTGTCCCATTGCATAGACGTCAGTCCCCTTTCCTGGGCTTAGGGCTCAAGTCTGACCACCTTACCATAAACTCCTTTCCTCCCTTGTAGCCATGTACTGCATAGCTGGTGCCCAGCTCCTCTGTAGACTCTAAACACACCTGGACTCTCAGGGTTCTGAGCCTTAGCCCCGCCATGGCCTCTACTCAGCCAGGGAGAGGGTCCTTGTCCTTTCTAGCCAAACCCACTACCCCATTTCTCTCTTGGGCCTCAGTGGCAGTGCCGCCACTCAGGGTCAGGGATGTCCCCTATTCCACTGTCAGGCTTGAGACCTTGCCCTGCCCTCTCTTCATCCTCAGCACCAGCATGTTCTGCCCGTGTGGCCCATGAGCCCCAGGGGCTGAACAGGGCACATGGCAGCACCATTTGGGTCATTCCTTGGGTTTCCATGTGCCCTCCTCGCCTACCCTCAGGCCCTCTCCTAGCCACCTCCCGCTTTCTCCCCTCTGCCCCGACCCTTGCAAAAACTGAAGGCTTACTTTACTTGTTCCTTATGACCAATGCTCTGGTTTTCACCTGGGTGGCGTGCTCAGGCCACTGTACCCAGCTGACATGTGACATGATTCCCACAGCAGGATGATGACGCTCCGAAGAAGCAGGCCTTGTACCTTATGTTTGACACTTCTCAGGAGAGTCCTGTCAAGTCTCCTCCGGTCCGGATGTCGGACTCCCCAACGCCATGTTCAGGGTATGACTCTGTGGTGAGAGCTGTGGCTTAGGCCAAAGACCCCCAATCTCCCATGTACCTTCCCACCATTAGCCAGGCTTCAACTCTGTCCACAAGGATGTAGATGCATTGCTTTTATACCTTTGAATGAAGGTGAAATCTTTAACAGCTGACTGCCAGCATCCCCCAGAACCTCCCCTGACCCCAGTCCACAAACTTCATTCTGTCATCTGTCTAATGGGAGACAGTGTGGAAACTAAGTCCTGCCTCTATACCTGGTGGGCGTTACTTGGACCTCCTGTGCGTCGGTTTCCCTAAGTGTAAAATGAAAGGATTAAAGTGGCTTCTAGGGATTTAGGGAGATTAAAGGAGGGTGTCAGTTTCCAGAGCAGCTACAGACAAGTGATGGATATGTTCTATGGAAAGCCTACATCAGAGTGCCTGGCACACATAAGATGTTTGACAAACATTTGTTATTAATGTGAGTGTTAACATCCTCACTTGCCGGGTGAGGTTGGTTTGGTGAATGGTGTGGTTTTGGTTGCGGAAGTGTGGGGCATGGCTCTGATTTGGGCCATCATCTCCCCTCTCTGCCTGCTGTGTCAGTCTTGCTTGGTTTCTCTTACTTACTGAGGAACCTGCAGACCAAAATCCACCCAGGTGGATAGGTGGTGGTAATGAGGGAGGCAGTGACAGCATCTCAGCAGGAGTGGTACCATGTGACAGCACTGTGTTGGGTACAGCATCTCATTTTATCCTTACAAAGGTACATGGTCTCCGTCTTCTAGAAAAGGAAACTGGGGTGTGATACCCAATGTCTTTCCTCAGGGTATACAACCAAGCAACTGTCAGCTAGCTGCTAAGCTCCAGAGCTGGGTCCCCTCAGCCAATTGTGTCTGTGCTGTTCCTCTCTCATCAGTTGGCCCTTAGTCAGGGCTGGATCACGGCCTCCCTCTGAAGCCACGTGGCCACTGAAAACCTGGCCCACATCCCTCTGGGAACACAGCCTTGGAAGTCCAGGGTTTTGTAGGACGTTAGCTCTCAGGGTTTCCTGTAGGTTTCAGTGGGTTGCGAAGGAGAAGACCCTAACAATGGCCTTTGCTTCTTTAGGTCAAGTTTTGAGGACACAGAAGCCCTTGTGAATGCTGCAACTAAACTCCAGCATCCTGTCACACGCGGACTGGCCTCCAACCAGGAGCCACTCTTGCAGGTGCCAGAGAAATCCTCCCAGAAGGAGCTGGAGGCCATGACCTTGGGCACCCCTGCAGAGGCGATTGAAATCGTAAGTCTTGTCAGAGGGCCCTGTGATCACTGGGGATAAGGCTAGGGCCACTGGGTGCCATTACCAGTCATGTGACTATGGGGCCCCACTCTAGCTCCCATACCACAGGACTCAGTCTAGGAGACCCCACAGTATCATGATGAGGGAAAGCCCTTCATTTCTAGCTACGATCAGCCAGCTTCTGTCTCTCCAAGAGCCTCCATGGCAAGACAGAGAAGGGTTTAGCAAAGAGTACTCTCTTTTGGGGGATCAGCTGTTTGTTCTGAGTCTCAATGATGAGAGATTTCTCCTGATCATGGACCAGGACTTCAACTACTCCTCTCCCAACTGCTGCTGAGGCTTTGCAGGGTCCATAGCCCTGAGCCGAAAGCCTTATCCACCCCACTCCCTGTGGGTTATATGTGGTCTCCACAGAGTATAGTACACCCATGTGGAGGTCTTCTACATGTCATAGATGGGCCAACCTGGGTCAATTATATTTTTCTTTTCCCTCTTTCCTAGCAATCCTCATACAGGTTTGAAGCCATTGATTCACTATGTTCTAAATGTGTCATGCTCTATATTAGACAACTTCATTTATCTCCCGCAAGTGTTTACCAGGCACTTTCTATGTGTGTGAGAATTGCATGCTGAGTTGGATACTGGAAACACGATCATAAACAACTAAAGGGTCTAGATGTGAACTGAACTTGTAAATAAACACTATGGCAGACGTGCCCATCGCTCACCTCCTGCAAAGTTGGCCTCTGATGCTCTTCCAGCCCTCCCAGGAGCTGCTTTTCAGTCAAACTCATCTTTTCAATGTTGAGAAATAGCCCTTACCCAAACCTTACTTCCTTTGGTATCTATTCTTGGTGCTATTTTTCTTGACGTAATATTGGCATGTTGAAAGCCCATCAGCTAGCTTGCTTACCACCCATGGAGATGTTTCAAATAAAGAAGCAGTGGTCACATGGCTCCCATCCACTGGCCAGGGAGTGAGGGTGGCTCATGTTGGGGAGGGCACCTGAAGCCCTGCTTTGGGGAGAGGGGATTGGGCCTGCAGTCTCAAAGCACCCATTACCAGCAGTTGAGAATTCATCCTGGTGGCGGTGTGCATATGGGCCCCTAACTGGTGTTCTCTCTAGCCTTATGGCAGCAGTGCCCAGTGGAAGGGCACATGGTTCTTGCCTGCAATCAATATCTCTCTGCTCTCCTCTATTTTTCTTCCATCTTCCTCTCTGCCGGCCTTCAGACAGCTCCGGAGGGTGCCTTTGCCTCTGCGGACGCCCTCCTCAGCAGGCTGGCCCATCCTGCCTCTCTCTGTGGTGCACTTGACTATCTGGAGCCTGACCTAGCAGAAAAGAACCCCCCAGTATTTGCTCAGAAACTTCAGGTTTGTAGCCCACATGTGACCTTTTGGGAGTTTGTCAAAACCTCAGTAGAAAATGAACCTCTGAGCCAAATTGAGCTGGGGCAGGACTTAATGAGGAATGTCTGAGAAAGTTCCAGATGAATTGTCTTCCCCTCAAACACTGATATATGTGTGTGTTATATCCAGGATGTCAGAATCATATAAATTATGTGGTTACGTATTGAATGAACCATTTTGATTTCAATTGGGAAATTGGTTCAAACAGTCATTTTTCAGATATATTGATACCCCGCCCCCAAAGGCAGTGTTTATGATTTATTCACTGAACCAAAGGCATCAGGGCAGGCCAAGATGTTTATGTACACAAGGCAATCCCAGATTCCCATTGAGGTAACATCTGGACTCAGTCTTACATCTGGAACCAGAAAGACAATTTGCTGTCCCCTGAACTAGGCGGCAGACCAAACCCAGAGAGATCATTATCAATCATTTGAGAGATGCACAACCTTTGGTGGAAAGTGTTGGCCAACTTGATAAAAAAACTATAGGGAAGAAATCAGAGTAGAGTAAGAATTGAGATCCTAGTTTGAAAATCATTTCATGTTTGACTGCACGGTACTTCTTGACAGACATCCATAAGAGTGATTTTTTTTTTTCCAAAAAGGTTAAGCCCCTCTTTCATGATCTGCTGAGGTGTTTGTTGTGAAAGAAAGCTGAGCGTATGTTTCCCCCAGTACCTGTCATAACGCATTTACATGGCACATTCATTCCTGGGTGTGGGAAACATGCTGTCTGTCTTGATGTATTTCCCTGCGGTTTGCTCACCCCCCAACCCCAACCCCCGGGCAGGAGGAGTTAGAGTTTGCCATCATGCGGATAGAAGCCCTGAAGCTGGCCAGGCAGATCGCCCTGGCCTCCCGCAGCCGCCAGGACACCAAGGTACCAGTTTGCCACTGCAGTGCGCTGCCTCCTGGGAGTGCTGTGTGTGCCCTGGGGTTCCAGGGCTGCTTTGCTAACCATTGGCCAGGCGAGCATTGTGGGTGTCCCATGAAGTGTGATTTCCCCAAAACTGAAAGTGTAACTCTTCCATAAACACACACTGAGCACATGTGTAAGAATGAAGAACCCAGCAGATGGGAGAAGCCAGTGCAGAACGCAGGGGATAAAGACAGCTTGGAATAAGGTGGCAGACTTGTTAGATGAACAACAGGTTACTACTCGTTCATCAGGACAGAAAAAATTGGGGTTAGCTTTCTTTCCTACAGATATCCTTTGCCTCTCTATGAAACAGAATTTACAACTTTTCTGTTTTCTAGAAGTTTCCATCTAACTTTACTGAGAGTCAGTTGTCAGAGGGAAGTGAAAAAAGACGTGGCATGATGCTGGCGACAAGAATAAAGAGCCCGAGTAAACACCCCGGGTGTGCAGGGCACATGGTCAGTCTCAATTGTCATGCAGTACCAATGCAGCCTCAGACGTATGCAGAGAAGTGCCCTGTTCAGGACAATTCTTTGTTCCCCCCTCATAGGAAGGTCAGCACACCGTTTGGTCGCAGACCAGAGTGTGCCAGCCTCTGCTTTTGAGTGGAGGTGCCATTTATTCAGAGGTCTTTCTGCCTGGCCTCCAGACTTGGGGTAATCATCTTAACAATGTGATGAAGACATATAGGTGGGCTCTTACCCTCAGGCTTCCAGTGAGCTGTGGCCCCAGTCCCACTCCCCCAGCCCCCCGAGTGTGTCAGACCAGGGCTGGACCCCACTTGTGTCCTGTGGCTTGAACCTTAAATGAGTTAGTGAACCTTGGTGCACCTCAGTTTTCCTGCCTCTGAGATGGAGCTCCTCAGAGTGTGCCTGTGGCCCTGAGGACCACACGTGTGGACGATAGCCTGGTGCTTGGCACACCTGGTACATATTTGTGTGCAGTAACGAAAAGGTACTGTTGGCTTGCGCTGTACTTTGCTTAATAAGTGGATCCTTGGGGAGCAGAGTCGAGTCTCAGTTTACAGATTGGGAAAGACAGATGTGTGGCAGTGGTTCACCACCCTGTGGGGACTAGAACTGGGGTCACCAATAGATCCCATCTGTCAATCTCACATCATAGGTTACTTTCAGAGGAACTCCCTGCTGCGGTCGAAGAGCAGGCCTCTGCTTCATCCCAAGGGCACCTATATGCGATCTCCTCGGCTTTAGCCCAAAGGAGGGCCTCTACTAGGCACAGTGGGGTTATATTTTGGGTATCCAGACTGGGGACAATGGGATGTAGGGCAGGGACAGTAATGTAAACACAAATCAGAGGTGCCTTTGTTCTTACTGCCAAACCGTGAACTTGGGTTGAATTTACATGAAAGGAGATTTTTAGACAGCACCAAGCACTGAAAACTAACCCCCACTGGATTTATTTCTTGAATCTTTATGGACTGTCTTAGAGACTAAGTTGCCTAAAGTCTGACCACTATAAATACAGCATAGTCTTGTCCTGAAAAAGGTTGAAGTGGAATTCAGCACCTTCTGATAAGTAGATCCCCCTGGTATGAAGCCTTCTGGGGGACCGGTGGACCCTGTCTCCTGAGAGTGCAGGAGACAGTCCTATCGGTGACAGTCTGTTCCCAGAGCATGTGTCTCAGTTTTGATTTAGACAGCAACTCCACACAGATCCCTGGGGTAGGGCTTGAAAGGTAGCCCAGCCGCCCCTGGCCTCCTCAGAATACTCTGAAGTCAGCACTGTCTTGGGTGGAGGGGACATTTTACTGCATAACATGTCACTTTGGGAATCTGGCACTCATGGCCCATGGAAAATAGATGCCCTGCTGTAGCCAGCCTTAGGGGGCTCTGTGACTTCGATGCAGGGTGACCCCCCCCATGGGGGTCTTTCTCGTGCACATGCTTGATGGCCCCTCTCTGCATCAGAAACAGTTGGTGTATAGACAGAAAACAGTGGCTATGGGTCCCGTCTGCCCCACCTCTCAGTCCCAGGCGCTAAGAGTCCCATCTTCCTGGCAGCCTTGGCTTAAGCTGTGGCTCACACAAAAATGAAATCACTTGGAAGAATAGCATTTTGAGGGTATGAAAATCAGCAGGAAATGGGGGCAGGGGGGTGCTGGTTGTTCCTGGAGCAGCTTTGAGACGGAGATGAATCGGTGAAAACAGAACTGCGAGAGACTGTCTCACTGGTCAAAATCCATTAGAGCTGGGAGGAAGTCCCAAGGAGCTGGAGCGTCTGGCTGTGGCCTAGTTGCTTTTCTCCCACTTGCTTCTGGTGGAATGAAGTTTGCTTTGCTCCTAAGGACTGAGTCTGAGCAGGCCCTCTGCATACATACAGGGCAGCAACCCCAGGATCCACACACTCAGCCTTACTGTCCTGTCTCTGGCGTTCCGAGAACAGTCGAGGGCTTCAGTTTACTCCCCAGCTTGGTGCCCGGAGCCTGTGTTTTACAAACGGGGAGGCCAAGTCTTGACTTGGGAAGGCACAACTGGCCGGTGCCTGGTGATGATGCTTTCCATAGAGTGGGGCAGAGGTGTGAAGCCATTGCTTCCACCTCCTGCCGGATTTGGATGGGGCAGCATCTGACCAAGATCCCTCTCCTGTCTGGATGGTGTCATGTGGCCCAGATCCCTCAGCCCACACTCAAAACCTTAGCTTAGTTTTCTTAGTCCCTAGCCTTTCCCCATGGTTCCCCCACAGTCTCAAATCTGCACTTCCACAGTTGACCTCCGACTGCTCTTGGGGCAGTGATGATGATGATGCCCTGCCCCACCCCCAAGGCCTGAAAACAGAGAAGGGTCACAAGGAGAATCATGGGTCCCAGTATAAAAGGGCTCTAGCTGCAAGGCCAACAGGACCCCAGGCTTAAGGATCTGAGAGACCTTCTCAGTGCCCAGGACTTAAGGAAACGTAGAGGATGAGGCAACAGCAGAGGTCTGTGCCTTTGGGGTTGTGGTCATTTCTCATTTTACTAACTATGATTCTGGTGACATTTTAGGCCTGTGAAGTAGCAAGTCTGATACTGCGTGAAAGAAATAAAACTTGATTTAAAAATAACTAATCTTAAAATATTAGTGAGAGACAAACCTTTTAGCTTCACTTGCAAACATTCCTGTTGTAAGGAAAAAACGGGCTGTGAATCCTGAACTTTATAACACAGAGATACTTGATGGCAGTGATTTAAGTGGGTCCCAAAGCCATGTGAAAACTCCAGGTGGCTGTGATAAAGAATGTCAGGGAATCACTCTGTTGGGTCAGGTCCCTTTGCATCTTCTTAGAAACCTCTGCGTTTTATTTATTTCATTTCTTTCTTTGTTTCAGGGGACTTTAGGAGCTTAACAACCCCTGCCCAGTGTGATGAAAGTCAGTTTTCATTAAATTCATTTTCTTGGTTTTGGTGTGGTGGCACACGCCTTTAATCCCAGCCCTTGGGAGGCAGAGGCAGATGGCTATCTGTGAGATCGAGGCCAGCCTGGTCTACAAAATGAAATCCAGGCCATCTGGGGCTAATGGGAAACCCTGTCTCAAACAAACAAAAAAACAAATGATTTTCTCTTGTACTGCAGAGAGCCGCTTTACTTTGGTTCCGATTTGGATCTCATTGGGAAACTCTTCAGACCAATCTCTCTGATCCTTTGCTCTTTGTAGAAGAGCTGGGCTGAGCTTGGTAGCCCTAACGTTGTGTTCATTTCATTTTGGATTTTTATTTTAGTTTCCCACCCCCCTTTTTAAGTCCTCTTCAGGATTCTGTGTTCATGAGTGTTTCTAAATCCAATGTGTGGTGATTTCTGGCTGTAGTTTCTAGTTACTTGTGAGACATTTCCCTTAAGACAGGTAGAGCTATGCAAAACATTACAAAGACAGAGAGGCAAGCCTGCCATGCAGAGTCTGCTCTGGTACCTGGGGGTGCTCTGTTTGCTGAGGGGTGTCTCTGCCTGCTGCCAAGAGCTGCTATCCTGTGCTCTAGTCAGATGTCCAAAAACAGACCTCTTCAGGACCAGAGACTGCGGTCTTGACACTCCACCTGACATGTGAATGCATCTGTGGGCCCTGGTTGACCAGGTTGTGTGCTCCTGGCTCTGACAGCCAATCGTGTGGGTAAGCTCAGGGTCTTTAGGGCAGGCGTGGACAGTTAGGATTCAGGTATCATGAGCGCCATTTGAGAGTGACCTCAAGGTCTTGAGGATAGGCAGGGCCAATGACTACAGATGTTTTCTGTCAGGACAACTAAACTACTCCGTGCACCTTGCATGTGTACACTAATTGTCCCTAACTTGTTGACTCTAGTCCTATCCATTACACTTCTACCTGTGTTTTCTAAGCTGTCTCCCCTTCCCAGGTCCTTGGTCCTGGTGCCGTAGTGAGATATGGGCTGCCTGTTCCTGTGGTTATAAATATTCTGATGATGAGCCTTTAGTGCCATCCTTTCCATGACCATGAAGCTTTCATCTTATCTGTGTAAGCCCTCACCCTCCTGTTTCCCCTTCCCTTCCTACAACTCGAATTGCCATGTTACACTGCTCATTTTTTTCTCCTAATTCCTCAAGGATACAGAAGTCCCATTCTGCCCATCAGGCCACCGTCACCTCACATTGCAGCATTGATTTGGACTCTTAACTAGAGCGGAGGCCACCTTGGCAGCCATGACAGCACTGTGAGGTTAATGCATAGGACGGAGGGTGACTGACTTGCTGTGAAAATGGACTGACAAGCCTGGCCATGCTAGTTGACGATGCTCCTAACATCCACCTCTCAGCCGTGTTGCAAGTTGCTGAGCGTTCTGTGCATAGGGGAGGCTAACCACAGACCCCTCCTTACCTGTCCGAGGCTGGTGGCTGTCCCCACCAGAAGGCCAGAAAGCTTCAAGTCAGTATCAGTAGGGTGGGGTGGGGGAATCAGCTTTTAAAATGGATATTGTTATTGGCCCCAGCTTTCCACTTCCCTGTTACATAACAGACCTGATGGCAACATACTCTTACATCCAGAAACTTTAGCTGTCAGAACCTACAGGGTCCATAGCAGTAGAGCTCAAGTTCTGTGCAAATCATATCCTTTCAAACTGAGCTACATGACTGCAACCAAATTGAAATGTGGCCAGTCATACAAAAATAATCTAATCTTCAGCTATTCAAAACGAGGCAGCGTAGACTAGCACTCAGTATCAGCCCCCAGCAAGATGTTATTCGAAAAGTGGAGCCAGGAGAATGATGATCCGGTTCTCACACACCATGCCTACCTGGCTCTGTCTGATAAATGGCAGCGATAAGCAGGCCCCAGACATGCTGGGCCCCCAGGGCTCCAAGTTCTGAGGCCATCACCATCAGTCCATTCGTGTGCCTGCACAGGTACAACATGAGGGCTTTGCGTCCCCTGGACCTGGCATTTCCCCATTCATGAGTCTCTGCATTTTCTCATGCTTTCGGTGTCCTTTGTTTCAAAACCATGCAACTGAATGTGGTTCACCAGGCAGTGGTGGAGTCCTGTTTGTCATACGATCTGCAGTAACTTTCTCTCTCTCTCTCTCTAATGAAAACCCATTCCACAGAGAGAAGCTGCTCTCCCTCCAGATGTCTCTATCTCCAAAACTGCCTTGTACACCCGCATCGGACCTACAGAGGTGGAAAAACCCACAAGCCTTCTGTTCCAGCAGCCCGATTTGGACTCTGCGCTCCAAGTTGCCAGAGCAGAGGTACAGGGCCATGGTGTCAGGAAGGGCCACACTCCTGATGCTGGGTCAGGATCTGGGACTGCCAGTAGTCAATAACTAACCATGTTTACCCACAAAGCTGGTGTCTTTGGAGACAGACTGCCCTCTGCACACTGCAGGCTAGGTGGGTGGCACGGCATGGGTTCTGGCCTACCCGGTTGCCATGCTAACGGGCATGATTGATTGGTTATAGAAGGCATCGTGTCTCAGCTGCTCCCCAGTGGGCCTCAGGAAGCCTGGGCTCTGTTTCCTTTCTTTCTCCTTTTCAGGGAAGTTGTCTGGATGTAATCATGGCTTTGTGGGAAGTTTCTGTCATTTGATAACTCCTGGATGTGGTCAAAACTGGACACACTCATGTGGGGTCCACCTTTTTCCTCTCCCTGACCCTAGGTCATCACCAAGGAGAGAGAAGTCTCAGAGTGGAGGGACAAATATGAAGAAAGCAGGCGGGAAGTGATGGAGATGAGGTCAGTGTGGAACTTGGAACTCCTAGTGCCCAGGATGCCGGCCTGTGGGCTGACAGCAGTTGGGTTGACAGCCCAGGTTGTCCTCAGTAGTGTCTTCTATAGAAGTTTTTTTCCTTTTTTATACAAGGCTCATATTTTTATAGGAGTGTTTTTAAGGGATTTCAATTATTTATTCATGTGTATGTCTGTGTGTGAGTATGTGCACGTAAGTGCAGGTGCCTGCGGCAGCCAGAGGCATCAGAACCCCCTGGAGCTGGAGTTACAGGAGGTTGTGAGCCACTCAGTATAGGTGCTTGGAACTGAACTCGGGTCCTCAAGGCCAGCAGGTGCTCCTAACCATGGAGCCATCTCTCCAGCCACAACAAGAGTGATTTTAGCATATCACTATTACTAAAAGTGTATACATGTGCTAAAGAATCCAGTCAGAGAAGTATGTGGATACTGGAAGCTCTTTCTCCCCACCAGCCTCCAGTTCCACAATCCAGCTCTTGCTTGAAAGATTTATTTTCATTTGTTACGTACTGTAGTAGAAATACAGCCACCACTGTTATGACCTGTAGTGCTGCAATTACAGTGGTAGGGGCTTACAGTCCGTTGTGTTCCTGTCTCCAGAGCATTTCTAGCAAAGGGCTTAGATAATCACAGCCCCTGTTTTCTAGGCCACTGTAGTATCTTCCTGAATGGAGCCGCTGCTTGCCCAATCACTAGGCAGCACAGGTGAATCCCTGCGTCTCCTCCGGAAGATCATCCTTGGAGAGAAGGGGCTGCTTGGCACCGTACTGTTTGGGGCAGCTATAAGGCAGGCTGATGGAGAAGCTGGGTGCTTTTGTGTGACTACTACTTATTTAGATTCCTCAGCAAGTATTCCTGTAGGCCCATCCACTGCTTCAAAAATTGAAGGGGGCGAGCGGGTAAGATGGCTCAGCATGTAAAGGCACTTGCCTTATAAGCCTGATGACCTGAGTTTGATCCCTGGATCCACAGAGTTGTCCTCTGACTTCCTCATCTTCCCACATACACACATTAGCTGTACATACTCACACACTAAATAATAATAATAATAATAATGAATTTTTTTTTTTAATTAAGGGGCTGGAGAGATGACTCAGCAGTTAAGAGCACTCACTGCTCTTCCAGAGGACCCAGGTTCAAATCCCAGCTCCCATTATAATTGTTCATAACTCCAGTTCCAGGGGATCTGACCCCCTCTTCTGACCTCCATGGGCATTGCACAACATAGTGCACTTACATACATGCAGGCAAAATGCTCATGCACATAAAATAAATAAATAAAAATCTTAATTTAAAATTGCAAGGGCGTACAAAGTGGCCTTGGACTTGGAGGAGCATCTGCTTCAACAGAGACAGGTTCATGTCTCTGAGGCATTGGATGAGGGTATAGCAAGACTGTTAGGAAGCCCCAAGGAGAAATCAAGGAAGGCTTCCTGGACAAGAGAGTGTTTTAATTAGACCTTGAGAGAGAGATTCTGAGTGATAGAAATAAGGAGTAAAAAACCTGCATAAACACACGGAGGTGTGGGAGCTCAGAGCAAAGAGCTCCTTTGTCTGTACTGAGTTACTGTGACCGTGAGCTGGCTGGAAGGTAAGCTTATGAGGGAGATGACGCCGGTGTTTAAGGTCAGCCACTGGGGGACGGTCTGACCTTCTGTTTCACAGAGTGAATGGTGGGGGCATGTTGCAGGGTTTGAACAGGATGCAGTGAGTTGGGAGTTGTGTGTCAGGAAAATGAAACTATTGCTGAGTACAAGGAGATCATAAAGGATAGAGGTAGCCCTGCAAGTGTGAGCCTAACACTGACCAGGCAGGTTTGTCCACTGTTCATTGGTCACACTGTGCAGCTGTGCGGACTGAGATCAAACACCATCCTGTTATCAGCACCAACATGCTTTCCCTTTCTTCCAGAAAAATCGTGGCTGAGTATGAGAAGACCATCGCACAGATGATCGGTGGGTATCAGGCCTGGTGTGCTCAGGCCCTGGGTGGGTGCAGGCCTGTTGTGCTCGGGCCCTGGGTGGGTACTGGCCTGTTGTGCTCGGGCCCTGGGTGGGTGCAGGCCTGGGGTGCTCGGGCCCTGGGTGGGTGCCAGCCTGTTGTGCTCGGGCCCTGGGTGGGTACTGACCTGCTGTGCTCGGGCCCTGGGTGGGTACAGGCCTGGGGTGCTCGGGCCCTGGGTGGGTGCCAGCCTGGTATGCTCAGGTCCTAGGTGGGTGCAGGCCTGAGGTGCGTGGGCCCTGGGTGGTTGTAGGCCTGGTGTGCTTGGGTCTTGGGTGGATGCTGGCCTGGTGGACTCAGGCCCTAGGTGGGTATAGGCCTGGGGTGCTCAAGCCCTGGGTGGGTATCAGGCCTGGTGTGCTCGGGCCCTGGGTGGGTGCAGGCCTGGGATGCTCAGGCCCTGGGTGGGTGCAGGTCTGGGATGCTCGGGCCCTTGGTGGGTGTCAGGCCTGGGGTGCTCCGGCCCTGGGTGGGTACAGGCCTGGGGTCCTCAGGCCCTGGGTGGGTATCTGGCCTAGTGGGGAGTAGTATTTGAGTTGGAGTTGAAGGAAGAGCCTCAGAGCCAGCTCCTCCAAGAACAGTTCCTTAGGAGGAACCAGAGCAGGCCCTCTCATGGCTCTGCCTGAAGACACCTGCCAGCATGTCTTGCATTGTTCCACATCTCCATAGCTACCATTTGACCAACCAGGGGCTGCGCACTATGTGTTTGGAAAGAGATTGGGGTTGGCTACGGGGATGCAAGGCGGCTTTGGCTTTTGCTCGCAGAAAAACATAGGCTTAAAGCCCTTAAAACCCTCATTTAGTATAGAGTCAAGGGACTAAGTCCCCCACACAGCCTCAGCACATATGTCTAGGGCCAGGTGGTGGGACCATGGCAACTCCCTACAGGTGCCCTTCCTCTTGTGGCTGGAAGACCCCAATCCTAGCACTCTTTTTCCCTGAGATCAGACACACTCTCAAGAATCTATTGGAACACTGAATCCCGGGCAGCCTGGTCTGGCAGACTACCTTAGGCCTGCAATGAAAGAAGGCCCCGAGTTAACGAGTCACATAGAACTGGCCCTTTCCTTTGCTTCCTCCCTGTCAGTAATAGGAAACAATCCTGGAAAAGTTCTAAGCCCACATTTTTCTAGTAATGGATTTGGGAGAGGTGTCTTCATGTTTATGTGCCTGGCTGTCTGTTTATTTTAAAAAACTGATGATCAGTTTTTTAAAATCTTTGTCTCCTAAAGATACATGGAGTGAACACTGTAGGTCACTGCAAACCAAGTTTGTGCATTCAGGCCAGACTCTGCACTAGCACAGGAGTCCTCTGAAACATTTTTCCCATCCCACATGTAGTTTATCTTAAGATAAATAGCACAGTAGATAGAGGACCAACAGTTGAGTTCCTTGAACTCTGAACAGTGCTGACTGTGGCTTATGATAATTAAGGCCATTTCACCCTGAGCTCCTGAGACATTCAGTCACACTGGTCTCATGGTGGATGCTTCCCATCAGAATAAAATATACTCTGTTGCTGAAAGAATTTATGGACTGGAGAGATGGCTCACCAGTTAAGAGCACTGGCTGCTCTTGAAGACGACCCGAGTTCAAATCCCAGCACCCACATGACATCTGACAACCATCTGAAACTCCAGTTCCTGGAAATCCAACACCTTCTTCTGACCTCAACATGGGTGCACACATGCAGGCAATACACTCATACACATAAAACAAAATAATAAAAATATTTTTAAGAATTAAAAAAGAATTTGTGAGCACATGGATGAGATAAAAAAAAAAAAATTGAAAGTGCTGGCAAAGCGCTGACAATGAAGAATTTCCACATTCAGTGTCCAGAAAGGCTGGCCTGACCTTGGGCTTCCTGGTGTCTTGGGATGTGAGTGACCTGGAGCCCTCCCATGGATCAGGTCTCTGAGTCATACTCCTGAATTGGTGCCTTGCTGATGACACTGGCAGCTGTGGAGATGAGAGTGAAGGGCTTGATTTTTCCCTGAGGGAAGGCTACCCACAGCCAGCTTGTAGCACACAGGTGGGGGCTTTCAGAGAAGCAGGGTTCCCCTGGAGAGCTCTAAGCATGAAGACCTCTCTGGCTGACATGGGTGACCCCCACGGATGACTAGTCTCTAGCCTTATCTGTTTTTCCAGAGCATCTCAGTCTAGAGAGGCATCGTGTCTGTGGCCATCATCCTTCAGGTGCTGTGGAGGGGGCACCGTGTAAGGCCTCTGTACAATTCAGGGTCCTGGTGGACAGCCTGAGGCTTGACTAGGACTTTGTGTAAGGGGACCCGCCCTCCTTCTAGGAAAGTGCGAGAATCTCCTCACATACAGAGCCATACCCACAGGCTTCATCTGCATTCCTTATTTCAATTCCCATTTTCACTCCACTTGCCCAGCAGGGAGAACCTGGGCCTGAGCCTACAGCTTTTGAATGTCCCACATCCATCACATTGTCCCTTGACCAGCTCCCTCTGAAGAAAGTGTGTCTTACTAAAACTCAGCACTGGCTATTTGGAATTTAGAGCAAAAAGCGGCTGCTTTGCTTTCTGAATTCCGGATTGTTGCGAGTGTTTTTTTTTTTTTTTTTTCTGCTTTCTTAACAACTGCCCTGATTATCTGTTTTGCTTCCATTTTCTGTTGCTTCTTGCCCATTGCTTGCAAAACAAACAGGCAAGCCTGGTAAGTAAACGCTTCCCCCACTTGACACCTACCAGTGGCAACCCTTCTGTTTGTGTTTTGTTTTACGGTTTTGTTAATTTTGCTTTTGTGTGCTTGCTGCATTCCCCACACAGTTTAATAACATTTTGCCTGCAAAAGCCAGAAAACCCATCAGGGGTATTGTTCTGTTCTGCGGCTTTGGACTAAGGCTGATTTCCTGATTTTAAGAACCTAACTGCATTGGCCATGTATAAAAAGATTTGTGCAGCTTTCCCTTGCCTGGCTCTCCTGGGAACTGGGTGGTTCTATTTTTAAAAAAGATGAAAGAGAGCTGAGGCTAAGCCACGTCTTAGATCCAGGAAATCAGATGGACTCCATTTGATAAATGGCTCCTTCAACCTGTCTGGTGAAATATCTACGTGACTAAAGATCAGCCCAGAATGTACATTTGTGTGGCATGCTGCGAATAAAGGAAGCAGCTAAAATTCAAGAAATAAAACCAAGCATTGGTTGCTAGTGAACTTGGGAACACCCTCTCTTTTAGGGGTATAGACATAGCAAGGAGATTGCTTGGCCATTCTGTTCTCTGTGTTAAAAAGCCAGGCCTTCACAAGTCAGTTAAGGGCTCCTGGAGACACGGATGCTGTTTATCAGATCACTGGTACCAGACTCCTGGTGCCAAGGGCTTTGTACTCATTCTTTCCTTTAATCCCCCCAAATACTGTGCCACAGAATCACTACAAGCCCCTAGTTTTAGTGAGGAGCTGAGACTCAGTCTTCAAAAGCCCCGCCCAAGGTCACACAGCTGGGAAGTGTCAGATATGGGATTTGAATCTGAGCTGTCAGACTCCAGAGCCACATACTGCCTTAGTGACTTCTGGTACTGGATGGGTGTCCTCTGAGCCCTGGGATCATAGAGGCAGGATGGAGACATCCCCAACTTGTGGTTCTCCAGACAGAGCCCTGGACCAATGGTATTTGCATCCCTGGGAAGCTTTATACTGATGTCAATTTCCAGACCCACCCAGACCTGCTGGGTCAGAAAGTAGGATGGGACACGAATCTGCACAGCCTTCCAGCTGATTTGAATGCATACTCAAATCTGACAGACACCTTGATTTGACATGAGGTCTTGGGACCCCAAAAGGTCAGGTCTTTTGAACATATTTATGTCAGACTTGGAGCTGAAATGAAGGATATGGCCCCATCATACCACATGATAAGAATTCACCCAGTTCAAGACTCAGCAAGATGCTGATCTGTCAGAAACTAAAGGCAAAAGAACACAAAGGAAAATCTGCTGTGGCAAGAGTTATAGCCTTCCAGGTCTGCCATCACAGGACGCCTGTGTAGAATGTGGTCACGACTAAGGTTTTTGTCTTTGGGTCTGGGCCTGGGCTGTGATGCTTCCTCAGTGAACAAGTGACTTAGCTGTTCAAACCTTTTACCTTTTGTAAAATGGGGACAAGAAAACCTGCCGTGTCATTGGGAGGCTTCCCTTCTTTACATACTGCATGGATTGTATGTCAGCATCACTTGTAGGGAGGTGTTCTGTGTACCCAGGGTCGAGCAGTGAACCAAGGAGATGAGTGTCTGCCCTTGAGGAGTGTGCCCTGGCCACTTAGGGTCTACGTTATTCCCTCAGTGTGTTCAAACACCTGACAGAGACAACCAAAGGAGGAATGATTGTTTTGTTTTGTTCACAGTTTCAGAGAAGTCAGTCCATCATGATGGCACGGCATGGTGGAACCGAGCAGTTCATATTCTGGCAGCCAGGAAGCAGAGAAAAGATACAGGAAGGAGCTAGGGCAAGATACAGTCCCCAAGGACATGCTCCCCGTGGCCTACTTCCTCCAACCAGGCCCCACCTGTGCCACCTCCCACTCTGTGCCACCACTCAGTAATACCATCATACTATGAGTCCGTTGGTCAGGTCACGGCCTGCACGAGCTAACTGTCCTTGGAGATGTTTTCATAGGCATGCTCAGCGGCATGCTGTACTAATCTAGGCATTTCTCAGTCCAGTCAACTTGACAGAATTGATTAATTAACCGTCACAGGAGTGGCATGGCAGTAGGGAGCTCAGTGTACCAAGCCTGAGGTGGGAGAAGTTGGTATCTAACAGAACCAGAACCCACAGCTGGCCCAACCACACATGCACACACAGGACTATTCTTTTGAATGTCTGAGGGCAAGGGCTAGGGAGTGGAAGGAAAGAGGCCAGTGAACCGGGGAGACACGGGAAGCTCTGGGGGCCCTTGAGCCCTAGAACAGCAGCTGCCTAGGGGGCTGAGACCATCCAGCCTGGAGCATGTGGAAAGGTGTTAGGTTGAGGAGAGCAGAGAAAGGAAAGAGTTTAGACATATGAGTCAGAGCCAGAACTGCAACAGGCAAGGAATGTGTTCCTTTATTCAAAGAGCACAGCAAAGGACAGAAGCCTTGCCCCAGGAGTCAGGCATCTGCATCAGAGGGAGGGGCGGTTTCCACTGTCATAGGAATTCTGCTGTACACAGACAGCTGCAGGCGTTTTTACTTGGTGCCAGGGTCTGGTGTCCTTGACTGAGGCTCTTCCTCCCAAGATTATTTTCTCAGGCAGGTGAGCTATCTTAGGGCACTAAAGGAGACAGGTTGACTCCATAAACAGTTTCCTTCACTCCGGGAGTGTCCAGTTGATAAGGCTTGAGCCATGCCAAGCTGCCCATTTAGGGCCAGTTAGCCACTTTAAGGGATTTATGACTTTCCCTAAGGAAACTTACGGCTCTTCTACAATTCCCAAATTCTCTCTGGAGCCTGGATTATTCTCAAGAGGTAGTTCCTCCAGGTGGACTCTGAGCACAGTGAGGTGGCCCATTTGCACTTTGTTCTGGAAGCTGCCATTGCTCCCTGTTGGCAGTTCCCAATGTGATCTCCCAGACAGCAGCCGGTCCTCGGCAGCAGCCAGCACCCTTCCAGATGACCTGGGACTGGTACAAAGACAGGTCTGCTGAGCCACTTACTTCCCCCAGGAGCTGAGAGGGGGGATTTCTTCTGTGTTCTGCTGTCACCAGGAAAGTGGTCCCTTGCCCACTCCGTCAGCACTTAGGCTGGAGGGTGCAGTGTCAGAGATGCAGTGCAGTGTAGGATGGCTGGGAGCCCAAGAGATGGGCTAGAGAGCAGAGATGTTGCTCAAATTAGTACCAGCACTCTGAACTAGACCCAAATGGATCTCCCCTCTCCCACTGAGAAGCGAACTTTGAAGATATGTCTCTACGTGGAGTTTGATACTTCATACAGCCAAAAAGTTCGTGTTGCCGTGTAACAGTTTCAGAGCATTGGGTTTCTGTGATGTCGTAGGGATAGAGATGCTTTTCCCTCACAGAGACCTTCTGTTTGTCTTTAACATTTAGGAAGAGCCACCCCTAGAGTTTAGGCTACAACACCCCTTAATCTTGCCTCCCCAGAGGCTAGTGAATCTTCTTGACACAGGAAAAGTAGGCACACACGGGGTCTCCAGTGTAGATTTTCAGGGGACTGCATTGATTAGGTTTAGAGTAACAATTTCTACCACATGTGATACTGTGTGAGTCTGTGAGTTTTGTCCTTTTAGAAACTATCTGGGGGCTAGAGAGATGGCTCAGTGGTTAAAAACACTGTTCTTGCAGAAGACCAGGGTTCGAATCCCAGCACCCACATGGCAGCTAACAACTGTCCATAACTCCAGTTCCAGGGGAACCGACAGCTTCTTCTGTCCTCGGACATTGCACGACCCAGGTGCACTTACCTACACATAGGCATAACACTCATACACATAAAAAAAATTAATAAATTAAAAAAAAAAAAACTATCTGGGAGGGAGGGCTTCAGGAATGGGTCCATCACAAGGAAAAAGTTGAGTTGTACCCAAGGCCTCAACTGGCCCCAGAGACCTTGTTTGGTTTCAGTGGGCTCCATTGTTTGCCTCCTGTTTCCTGCCAGAGGACGAACAGAGAGAAAAGTCAGTCTCCCACCAAACGGTGCAGCAGCTGGTCCTGGAGAAGGAACAAGCCCTGGCTGACCTGAACTCTGTGGAGAAGTCTCTGGCTGACCTCTTCAGGAGATACGAGAAGATGAAGGAAGTCCTGGAAGGCTTCCGCAAGGTGCGTCTGCAGAGCGGGAGTCTGGGCAGAGTAGAGATAGCAGTGTGGAAGGGGCCCAAGTGTAGGATTGAGGGTCCCAGAAGTTCATCCTGAGCTGATGTGAGGAGGGGCTCTTCTGAGGCTGGGGAAGTCAGAAGTGGCCGTCTGGGGTGCTCATCTTCGAGGTCTGACCCCCGACTCTGTTGTGTCAGAATGAAGAGGTGCTGAAGAAGTGTGCACAGGAGTACCTGTCCCGAGTGAAGAAAGAGGAACAGAGGTACCAGGCATTGAAGGTGCACGCGGAAGAGAAGCTAGACAGGTAACGCAGCCTCTGCCCTGCAGGCCAGGAGCCCCTGTGGCACCTAGACATGGCTTGGAAAAGGAGGCTGATCCCTCTGACTCGGGCTAAGGGATTCACATTCAACCACCACCCACTGAAATAAGTGAAGAATTGTGTTGTAATGTCCAGGATACCCAAAGCCCCTCAACATTGTGACAGTTAGGGACCTGTTCTTAGGGATTCCTGTGTTCAGGCTGTAGTTCCAAGGATGAAGCCAGACCCCTCTCCATTCAGAGGTATCCATGGTGATCTGCAGCTACCTCCAATGAAGAGTGATAATTCCTGATCCCCTTGTTCCAACAGAGCCAATGCTGAGATTGCCCAGGTTCGAGGCAAGGCCCAGCAGGAGCAGGCAGCCTACCAGGCCAGCCTGCGGAAAGAGCAGCTGCGAGTGGACGCTCTAGAAAGAACACTGGAGCAGAAGGTAAGATGGTAAGGGCAGGGCACCCATGGTTGAGGCTAGCCCATCCGGTAATGGAGGCTGGGAGGTGAGGTTCCAGAGCAGAGCCAGCACAGCATCCATCCAAGTTCGTGCCTTGTGGGCATACCCATGTCTCCCTCCAGTAGATCCAGTTTTTTCTTTCTGTCTTTCCTGGAATAGCAGCCTGCATGGTGTTTATTTCTAGTTTTCATTTCTTTACAACATCCATTCGTCAAATATCTGTGAGGTACCAATCACATTTACCCATCATTTCCTGATAGAGGATGGGTAGTGTCAGGGCCAGGCATACTCAGATGCCCCCCACCACCAGGTATGTGACCAGTGAGTGAATCTCCTGAGGTCACTCAGCCTGTGCCTAGCCCCGTCAATGTTGGGCCAGTGAATCTAGAACTGTGAGTGGTGGGGTGGATTCCCCCAGCTGGTCATCACAGCCCAGTTGCCTACAAGACCAGCACTTCTCAGACATTAGGGGCCTTAATGGGTGGTTGTGGGGGAACCTTGGTAATCTAGTAAGCAACTAGAGCCAGTGGCGCTTCCAAAGAATCTCTACCATCCCAGAAACACTGATGTTCCAGTGTGGCCCAGAGGGGTGGGGAATCAGGACTGAGCATCACAAACCTCTGTCCTGGTAGGTGCAGACTGACTTTCTTCAGATCCTGTCAGGGAAAGCCTGAGAATGAAGAGGCTCAGCTCCTCGCCAGCCTCGTGCAGCCCTGGCGAGCCTTGCACTTCACCTTGCTTCCTAGGTTCCCTTTAGCCCTGAAAATATTTTAGGTGAATGAATTTCCTTGATGTTCACGTGTGACACTAATCCTACCCCACTTCCTCTGGAAAATCATGTTTACATTCCTTGCTTTCCTTTGACGTTAAATAAGGGTAACAGCTACCAGGCACTTTAATGCCAGAATTTTAAAAAGTGCTAGACTGTGCCAAATATGCCAGCTATGTTCAGCCACCTCTGTTTTCTGGGCTCTGCTGGTTGTTCTTAACAGTCACCATAGAGACAAGACACACAGAGCTGCAAGTCCAAACATTTGTTCATTCATTGATAATTATGGAGCATCACTGTGGGGTTACTGTTGAGTCTGTATATATTTTTTATAGAAATGGAATGTTCCATTAAAATAAAGACCACATTCCTCAGTCCTTTTGGGTGTCAGATAGTTGCCAATGTTTGCACTCCAGAAAGTAAGCAGTTTGAGACTGTGTTTAAATTATATCACAGTGTTAGTTTGTGAAGCAGGAATCAGGACCACGGATGTTTCCAAGGCCCCTGGCCATCCAGAACATTGCCTTTGCAAGTGAAGGGGATGCCGTGTTTTCTGGCAGATTAAAATACGCAAGTGAAAACAAATTAGGTTGCCAGGTTTTGGATAATGGGAAAGATAAAGATGTATCTGCAAATGTAATTTCATTTTGAATTAAAACTCCAGGGGAATTAATTAATCACATGTATGTTCACTCCTGAAGGACCCTAAGTGACAGTCACGGTACAGGGCTTGTCTTAAAGAGATTCAGAAGCACAGTTCACCAAGGGTAGGTCCTATGTGAAGGAAGATGTTGGGCATTTCACCAGCCCCTCACACAGTCCATGATTGGGTGTGCTCATTGGTGGCTGATGGTGCTAGGGCAAACTCCAGACATCCATCTCCAATGGGTCTATGATGGTCTCCAGACATCCATCTCTAATAGGTCTACCATGAGTTGATGCACATTAAGTTTAGTAGGCGTGAGACAAAACTAAGTAGTTACCAGGACAATTTGAATTTGTGCTCCAGGCTGGCCAGATCTATCTGCCTGGCTATGTCATCTTTTTTAAAATTTAGGGTTTTTATTTATTTTTAGTTTTTATTTTTTGTTTTTTTGAGACAGGGTCTCTCTGTACCCCCAGCTGGCCTGGAATTCACTATGTAGACCAGGCCTGCCTTTCGAGGGTTAGCCTGCCTCTGCCTCCCGAGTGTTGGTGTGCACCACCATACCTGGCTTAAAATCTAGTTTTTAAAAATTCATTTATTTGTGTGTGTGTGTGTGTGTGTGTGTGTGTGTGAATTGCCTGCTTGTGTGTAAGTGCACCTGTGTCATGCAGTGTCCATGGGAGCCAGAAGAGGGCATCAGATGCCTTGGAACTGGAGTTATGGACAGTTGTTACTGCCATGTTGGGTGCTGGAAATCAAACCCGGGTCCTCTGCAAGAGCAGTCTGTGCTCTTAACCACCGAGCTCTCTCTCCAGACCCCTGGCTGTGTGATCTTATATACAACACTTAACCTCTCTGTACCTCAATTTCCTTACTGAAAAATGGGGTAACAGTTGCTTCCTTTAAAGGGCTAGCACCTGAAATTTGTGACTGGCCCATCATTTGTACTCCAACAAGATGAAGACCACCACTCATCCCCAGCAAAGGGTAGCAGTGTTGGTGGGAGCAACTTTAGGGCTAGTGGTCAGGGCTTCATCCCCTTCTGAGCCTTGTCTTCTAGTGGGCATTTCAGCATCTGTACATTCTGGGCAGGAAATGGGCCGTGAGCAGACTGCTAATGAGACTGCTTTCCTGTATGGCAGAGCAGGTTCCTCCACTGCATGGGCATGGTGATGTGGGGCCCTACCCTGGGGACAGCCATGGCACTGAGCTAGGATGTGTCTCAGACGGCCCCAAGGTTTCCAAGAAAAATTCAGTACATCTTGTGAGATAGGCTTTAGCAGAAACTGGCTGCAAGATGGACCTGGGATGCGGGTCCACCGTCACTGTGGCGGCCATTTATGCAGTTGAACAAAGGCAGCCTTTGACTCTTAGCATCCCAGTCATCTAAAAGCAAAGCCACATCTGCTGGACACCTCCCTTCTGGGGACACCCCCCCCCCACACACACCCGCTTCTAACTGGATGGGAACTGCTGCCCTGTCTTCTGTGCAGCCTTGACTGGGCCCCGGGGGATGGCAGGGCGTGGCAGGCGTGGCTCCTGGATGAGAGGAAAGCCTTGAAGTTAATTTGCATCTCTTGCTCCTCTAGGACTCCACCTGTCGGGCCATCTTCTAGATAATGCTAGCATTTCCCATACAGATAGATTTCCTAAATCCTCCTGTGCCTTTGTCAGGAAAGGAAGAGCTCAGCCCAGGTCCACCTATCTCTGCCTCCACAGTGCTGGGATTACAAGGGTGTGCCACCAACCCAGCTGTTTGTTGGTTTGGTTGTTTGGCTGGTTGGTTGTTATTATTTTTTTTAATATTGGGTTCTGAGGATTGAACTCATGTTCTGGGGCTTGCAAAGCAAGCACTTTACGGCTGGCATCTTCCCAGCCTCCTGACTGACTTGATTTCAAACATCAGGAGCATCTCTCTTATCTTCATTTTCAGAATAAAGAGATAGAAGAGCTCACCAAGATTTGTGATGAACTGATTGCCAAAATGGGGAAAAGCTAACTTTAAACCAAATGCTTGGACTTGACCGTTGCGTGCAATATGAGCGTCGGCACACTGCTGTCCTTCCGGTACCGTGGACAGGTTCTGTTTTCACTTTTTGTATGCACTACTGTATCTCCTCTCTAAATAAAGGTGATTTGATTGTATGCAGTCCTGAGGAGACCTAGCAGGATTTCTTGCTATTGGTTTGCATTTTCCTAGAATTATTCATAGCAAGTTGACCTCAGAGTTCCTGTATCAGGGAGATTGTCTGATCCTCTAATAAAAGACAAATTGCTGACCTTGGCCTTGCCCTTTGGACATGAATCCCCCAGGGTGAGCAGCTTCTGATTTAATATGAACATGCACAGCCTGCATAGGGACTCTTGCCTTAAGGAGTGTACACTTGATCTGCATTTGCTGATTTGTTTAAAAAAATGCATGTTTCAAATAAAATTCTCTATTGTAAATAAATTTTTTTCTTTGGGTCTTGGCAATGAGTGTAGCTGTGATTTATTTTCTGGGAAGGTTGAGTCTTTTCTCGCCTTTGTTAAAGCTTATCAGATTTGACCTTCTCGTTTTCTTTATCCATTGATTTAAATAACATTTCCTTCATTATCGTGGCTGGGTTTGTAAGAGGAATTTAATGAGAAATATTGACTGGTGATGTAAATAATTAAGTGGATACTTTAGCTTGGGTTTTGGTTTTTTTTGTTTTTTTTTTTCACAAAGTCTCTGCTGTTAGGATGCAAAATGCTTCCTTTGATTGAGTGAAGAAGCAAACCCTCTGTCTGTTCCATCCCTTGGTGTGTGAGCAACCCTGAACCCATTCCTCATAGGGGCTTAGGAAAGGGCTAGGGACTCTCAATGGGAGGCAGGTAATGAGCCACTTAGCAACATGACTTCCCTTGCTGCCCTTGACCTGCAAGAGGACCAGGGTGAAGGATGGGGCGGGGGTGAGGATGTATATTGGTTTCCTGGGGCTGCTGTCACAAATGCCTACAAATGAACTGCAAAATCAAATCAAGGTGTGAATTTGGTTCCCTCGGGCTCCAAGGGGAGTCTGCTTCATTGCTCTCTCCCAGCTTGCCACATCCTTGGTTTCCCTTGTCTTTTGATAGCAACACTCCAGGTACCAGGCATTGAACCTAGAGACAAGATGACAAGATTGCTCAAACTGGCCTTGAATTCACTCTGTTGTCTAGGCAGCCCTTACCTCTTCAATCCTCCAGCCTCAGTCTCCCAAGAAGCTGGGGTTACAGCCCTATGCCACCACATCCAGTTCCTTTCTTTTCTTTCTTTCTTTTTTTTTTTGTCTCTTTTTAACAAGGTCTCCCTGTAGTCCCAGCTGACCTGAACTCACTATGTAAACCAGGCTGGCCTTGAACTCACAGTGATCCGCCTGCCTCTGCCTCCCAAGTGCTGGGACTAAAGGCATGTGCCACCATGCCTGGCCTTTTTCTATTTTTTTAAATAAATGTTTTAATTAAAAAAAATTTAACATGTATGAGTATTTCGCCTGCATGTATATAAGTACACCTGTGTCATGCAATGCCTGTGGAGCTCAGAAGAGGGCTCCTGGAATTGGAGTTAAGGACAGGTATTGTTAGCTGCCATATTGGGAACTAAACCCAGGTCCTCTTCAGGAGCAGCCAGTGCTTTTAACGGCTAAGCCATCTCTCCAGCCCCTCCTCTCTTTTCTTATAAGAATATCATCATTGTATTTAGAGCCTACCACAAGTTCAGGGTGATCTCATTTCAATATCCCTGTCTGCAAAGACCATTTGCACACATAGTCATTTTCACAGGGAGCAGGGATTAAGACACAGATACATCTTTAAAGATTTTTTTATTATAGTATTTGTGTGTGTGTGTGTGTGTGCGCACGCATGTGTGTGTTTGCATGCACGCATGCATGCAAGAGTGTTTATGGAGGTCAGAAGACAACTTTCAGGTGCATGCCATGGTACATATGTAGAGGTCAGAGAATGGCTGACTGGAGTCAGTTCTCTCCACCGTGTGGGTCCCGGGAATTGAACTCAGATCATCAGGCTTGGCCGTAATCACCTTTCCCCACTAAGTCTTCTTGCTGGGCCTACACATCTTTTGAGGGACATATGTACTGGTAGAATTTGTGGTGTTGCTGAGTGTGAAAAGCAGACCTGAGCCCCCATGTCTCTGTTTACCTGCCCCTCTTCCTGCTCCAGGCACAGTGACTATGGGCCACTTACTGTACAGGTACTCTGACCCTAACAGGACAGGTTCTAGAAAGCCTCAGCTCTGGGAGACAGGATAGGGTGGGGGTCTCTATGGTGACTTACAAGGTGGATGAAGTTGGGCCATGTGATCAGCACCAAGGAGAGAGGGATGACTTGCTCTTGCTGCCCACTGGCTCTGTGATGATGCACAGCATCCTTGGGACTCTGAGAGTGTTTCATTTCTTGTGCACATGGCCTCCATAGGCAGAGCTCTGACCCCACTGTCATCCCACCTGACAGGCACCTGAGCCGGAGCTAGTAACTGCCTCCCTCTCCTGCCCAGGATCCACTGGCTGGTCCAACCAGGACCTCTGACCCCCGTCCTCACTCAGCCTGGCCTGGCCGCACCCCTCCCTTGCCCTGGACCCACCTCTCCTGCTCTCTTATTTTCTTCATTCAAGTAAGACATTCGCATTCCTAGCAAGATTCAAAACACAGGCAAGGAAAAATACTGAGTCCCAAACCAAGGAGCTGCTCTTTTTGTTTATTTTATGCCTTTTCTTGGCATATGAAATACCTATTTCTTTCACTGTGCTACTTAAAAAAATATTTTTATGTGTATACATTTGTCCATCCATCCATCCTCAGCATCCTGCATCCCATTTCGTTCCCCTTTCTTTTTCACCTAACACTGTATTGTAACCTGACCATCATCTTATGACAAACTTTTTCACTTAGTAAAATTATGAAAATATAAAATAATAAAAGTTACCAAGGCATCATCAAAACAACTGCCTCTTCTATCTCAGGCAATTATAGGGTGGTGTTCAGTTCACAGAATGATTTCAAACTTCATCAAGGATGACTGAAGATGTGTAACCACGGATGTGAGCCTGCTGGAAAATTCCATGGGGTCTGTGGCCCCACACTGGACAGCAAGGTTAGTGATTGTTGAGTTCTACAACCAGGGCAAGGGTATTGAGACACATTCAGGAGTGTTTAACTACAAAAGAAAGATTACAGACACAGTCTTACATTTTGTTTTTTTTCTTCAAAATGAGTTATGTATATGGAGATTCCATGTTTTATAGATGAGAAAAAAATTTTGCTAGAGTCCACTTCCTCCTCCTCCTCATCCTTTTCCCAGCCCGTGCCCCTTCCTGGCTACCTAAGGCTTCTCAGTAGCTCCGTGGGCACAGAAGCTGGTGGAAGCCGCGGGATGATCCTTGCACCCTTCTGGAAAAGCTTGCACAGACTGATAGTTTCAATATCAAATGTTCCCTGCAGTCTCCTGTGTTACATGCTTGGATTCCAGATATTGGTCCTATTTGAGGAGGTTCTGGAAACTTTCAGAGGTGGAGCCTAGCTCTGGGTCCCTGGGAACTCCTCTTGGAAGGTGTACTCAGTCCTAGGCCACCCGTTCCTCTACTTTACTTTCTCTCTGTCATGAGTGAGTGGTCTCAGTGACATGTTGCCACTGCTGTGATGTACCTCACGGGCCCAGAAACAGTGGAACTGGCCGTGGTGGACTGCAATTTCTGGAAACATGAGCCAGAATAAATCCATTCTCCCTTGGGTAGTTTGTCAGGTGTTTTGGTTACAGCAATGGAAAACGTGTGGGTAAAGGATGCAGCACTTGGGAGGCAGAGGCAGGCAGATCTCTGTGAGTTCAAGGCCAGCCTGGTCTACATAGTGAGTTCCAGGACAACTGGGGCTAGAGCGAGACCCTGTCGCAAAAAGACCAAAAAAAAAAAAAAAAAAAAGGATGCTTTGTTTGTGTCTCCTTGAGTCTGAGACTCACTTCTACCTGAGATCATCTACTTCTCAGGGACTCAGTGCCTGTTGAGTCTCACTGACCCCAGCACTGACTGCAATCTGCGGCCAATTTTGTATCAGTAGAGGCAATTGTTCCTTTGAGTGGCCAACAGCATTCCATAGCACCAAAAGCAGCTTAGCCAACCCTCCTGGGGATGGTGGGGTTATACCGTGCCAGTGTTTTGCCATCATTCTACACTGCTCAAGTGTCCTTATACACAGGTGTGATGCAATCATACTCCAGGCCGAATTCTTAGGGTGGCTTACCTTGACTTCAGATGTCTGTGCTTCAGACCCTAGCTGCTTTTTTTTTTTTTAAGATATTTTATATCTTTATTTTATGTGTATGAGTGTGTTACCTGCATGTATGTAAGTGCACCTGTGTTGTGCAATGCCCACAGAGGTCAGAAGAGGGTGTCAGATACCCTGGAACTGGAGTTAGGGATGTTGTTAGTTGCCATTTGAGTGCTGGGAATCAAACCCGGGTCCTCTGCAAGAGCAGTCAGTGCTCTTAACCACTGAGCCTTCTCTCCAGCCTCAGCCCCTAGCTTCTTAAACTGTGGTCTTGAAAAACTTGGCAATAGTAAAAGGTTTCTGAATGTGCAACAGTTAGAAATTAATTAAAAATCAAATGCATCACGAATCCAGTGTGTTTCTGTTAGCGCTCGCCTGTGTGGCACCCATCCCACACCTGTCACTGCAGCCCTGGTTCTGAAAGAGTGGCAACACTTTGCACTGTGTACGTTGTCACACCGCATGGTGCCAATGAACACTGCCTGAAAACCTTTGCTTCCATTCAGGATTATTGTATGCTATGCATTGCAGGGTGTTTACTGTAAATACAAAGTTTTCTGTTATGGAAGCATGAGGGTTTCACTGTGGGAAATAAGACTTTTAATATTTTTCTACCTTTGTTTCCCAGCATGCAAGTTTCAAATTAGTGTATCTTTGGGTTGTATTGTTAGAATGTTTGATTTTAAAATTTGTTGTTTGAGAGACGGTAAGTAAAGGTACTTGCTGCCAAGACTAACGACTTGAGTTTGGTCCCTGGTACCTACATGGTGGAAGGAGAAAACCATACCATGGTGTGCACACTCGTGCACACACCATACTGAATAAAACTGGAAAATACATAAATGAAAATTGCTCTTTGGGTTGTTAACCTGGGCATCTTAAAACTTCACTAAGTGAATTTTGGGTTGGGATTAGGATGGAATTTCCAGCCATTTCTCCAGTGGGCCTAAACATTCTTGTCATTTTGTATTGTATATGTATGCCAAGCTATGTTCTAAGCATTGCTGATTTTAAAGTCCAAACGCTGAGTGACTCTGAAAACCGTTGAAGATACTCTGCATCCTGAAATATCAGTTATTCAGCCACGATTTCATTCTTCATGTGAAAATAAAAGCAAGCACACCCAGCTCAGTAGTATGCAAACTTGTTTTTGTCCTTAATAAATGG